CTATCTTGGCTCCACTGATTGCGTTAATCATTGTGGTTATTATTATATTTATACTTGCTGTGTTTAATGTTCGCTATGCGCTGCAAAGGAGAATGGAATCACATAATGATTTCTCACGGGCCTTTGAGAATGCCTCTGTTCGAAGGTATGACCACTGAAGCAGCTAGCGGATATATTCACATCTAGCAGGGTCTCAATCTCATATTCCCTCCGAGATCAGGTACTCGTTGCTCATTCATGGTCTTGCACGGCCTGGTCAACCTGCTATCATATGATCTTGAGAGCTTCAGGCGCTGCCTTGTGCATTTGAAACACATATACTTGATCATATAAGTTTACTTAGAGCGAGCGCTTTTCAAGCTATATGTTTATCAAGAGGGTGGTCTTTAAATTTGAGAGTTAACTAAACACCCTGAGTACGATTCTAAACTTTACTATACCATCTACTAAATCCCTCAAATATATATAAAAAACCCCCAATTCTTGGTCATTGTAACGATCCGTTATACCGTTAAGCCAAACAGGGCAAAAGATTAGGCCAATAATCACTATTGTAGCAATTACTGTAACGGAGCCAGCGTCTTATAAGGGATCTATCTGTTACGGTAAACTAGGCCGTGACAGTTATTTAGTGCATGTGGTTTTAAATCCAGGGACTTAGCCCGTTAAGAAATCTCAGGTTATAAAACACTTCTGATAGAAAGGTCTTACCTTTTCCTTCGGACCGATATAGTTCTTTATTAACTGCACTTATTCTTTTTCATCGATTCAATTACTAACGGTCACCAAGAAAGCTGGATGTAAAGGCTACAGCTTAGCAATAGGTCAGCAAGACTGGACGGCCTACTGTTTATCTTCGCTATGTTTCGACTTGGTAAAGAAACTTACGACAGCATTGATTTGTTCTATAGCTTTTGCATTTTATAATATGCTATGCTTTAAGTGAATGGCTGGGCTTAGGATTGGAAAAGGCCTTATGATATACTTGGCTTTTGCTTTTCTGCTTGTATATAGTTCATTCTGCTTGCTTGATTTATGTTATGTGTTGCTTGTAAAGCCATCCTCGCTATGTCTATTCATTTAATAATAGCTCTGCATTGATCAACCCACTTTGGGTCGTCGCTCTGGAACACCTCTCTGATGAAATCCGCCGGACTGCTCATCAGACTTCGCAGCAGCCGTAGTCGTGCTCGCAGTCTTTCTGGGCTGGCTATACGGAGCATCTCTGACCTCGCATTCAGCTGATTGTCCCTGCTATAAATCCAGCCCAACGTTAATTTAGCCGTTTCCCGGTCTCCGACGCAGCAGCCGGGTCGGGCCCTGGAGCTTACCTGTCGCCTCACGCACGTACTGCGTGCTGTACATCGTCGCCTCCACCTTCTTCTCCTGCCCCTGGGCTTTGTTCCACACGAACTGGTCCGGCTCGAGGAACCACAGCATCCGTATTGCCAGCAGAGCCACCCGCGTCCCTCCCCTCTTCTGCTTTACCTTTTTGTCCGCTATCGCGAACCCGACGACTTCATCCTCGCCTCTTCCCCTGGGCACGTTATACACGACCATGTCTACCGTCATGCCTACCGTCAGAGCCAGCATACAGAGGAGCTCGACCTCGGGCCTTGCCTGGAGCTCTTCAGGCAAGCGGTGCGCTTTCTTGTAGTGGTTGGTGAGCCCTGCGTGGGGTGCCTTCATGTGGCCCGAGTTCTCCAGCAGCTGTTTGAAGCCGCGCTCGAGCCCGTCGGGGAGACCGCCGCTGAGGGGGAACGTGCACCCGAAGTCGATGCAAGTCTCCTTGGCCTTGTGCCTTTTGCTCTCCCGCGCGATCTCCGACTCGACGGCTTTCCGTTTCAGGCTCCCAGGGTGTAGATTCATGGCCCAGCCGACCAACGAGCTCTTCTCGGTCGACGGCAGCACTCTTTGCGCCATAGTCGCCGTAATGGTCCCACGAGAGCTCCTAAGAACCCATTCGACACGGTTGCGTCTCAGCGCCGACCCGATGTGGTATCGCCACTGTCCGGCCGACTTTTCTGGGCTCCCCTTGTTGTATGTCTGCTTGTAGAGAGAACTCAGGATGGCTAGCCACGTCATGTTCTTCGAGCTGAGAGTCCTGTCTATTGCCTTGTTACTGCTTGAATGGAGAGCTTCCAGGATGTGGTCGACGTATCTGTCTTGCTCCAGCTTGTCACTTGTAATCGCCTCCTTCAGCTGGCCTTGCCCTTCATCTAGGGCATCGTTGATTTCCGCTACAATACTGCTGAATCTCCTACGTTGCCCTCACTGGTTAGCTCTCTGCATCTGCGTCTGCTGCCGCTTAGGGCCCGACATTGGCTTTTGATGTGATGGTATGGACGGTGCTTGGATATCTAGGTAATTATACTTACTCGGAGCCGAACGCGGCCGTGCCGTCCTGACCTGTGGCCTCCCAGTCATCAAGGCATAGGCGGCCCTTTCTGAGCTTCTCCCGTTGCTCGTCCGAAAGCTCGACGCTGCGTCCCCGCTTCTGGAGAAGCTTCCGGATCCTTCCCTGCGAAGAACTGCCGCATCTCGGGGACGAAGTGATTCCGGAAGACCTCCTCTATGTACTCCGCCTCCTGTGACAGAAGCCGGACCCTCGCCTCGGACTCTCGGCCTGCCGCAACTTGCTTTCCGTAGTGGTACTGTAGAGACGCGGCCTGTAGGAGGTGCACTCGGCGGTTCTGCACACCAGGCCAGTTCTTTAGATTCATCCTCCCCTGGCCGGCCATGTTCAGCCTCCCCGGGTCGATGTAGGGGAACGCATGGTTCTTGATGCTCTCCATCGTGCCCAGATACCTGAATGTCGTGCTTGGGAGCACCCTCTTGTCGCCAGTAAAGCAGAAGCTCCCCAAGCGGTCAACCGCCGCCATGGCTTCTCCCAGCTCTACCGTGAGCCCTGACTTTCCCCCACGCTTGAACTGGGCGAGCATCGAGGCCGCGATGAGCTCGAAGAGCCTGGCGTATGCGCACAGCACCCCGGGAAATGCTTCGGGGTCGAATACTCTGAGCACCTGAGTGTACTCCTTCTGTGCTGTGAGGAAGAAGCTGATCAGCTGCGTCATCGGCCTCAGAACCATGGGCATGGTGCGGTGGTCTGGGAGCAGCTGCGACACGGAGACGGTGATGACCTGCTCCATCCTGAATGCGTACTCGCCCTCCTCGATGCACTGTTCAAGCCGGCTTGCTTCCCGCGCAAAGGTTATTGTACGAAACCTGGCCTCCGGGCTATTTTCACCCGTCAGTTGGTCTAGCAGCTTTTGTTGCGTCTTCTTTGCCGCAGGCGTGATGCCCGGTCCCGAGGCAGGCAGGGACAGCGCGACAGTAGCAATAGCCTAGCTTGCGAGGAGATCCTATGGGTTGAACTGCACCGTCTTCTTGATGTTGGAGTAGCCTTGGAAGTAGCCGGGCGTGACTATTTCGGCGTTGTCGTTCTCGCAACTCATGTTAGAGCACACCGTCCGCAACACGTTGTCTATGAAGTCGGGGGGCAAGCTTGATGCGAAGTTACCGTGCCGAGGGTTAAAGCCCAGCGAGTAGTGCGTGAGATTGGCGAGCTTGCGGTCCTTGTACTGATCGTCGACCTCCTTGAAGTCTGCAAGCAGGCAACTCGGCTCTCCGTTGCCAAGGCAGTTGATATCGGCGGCGAGGGCATAGGCTATGCTGTCTATGGCGTCAAGATCAAAAATAGCATCAACAGTCAAGCCTAGCTGGCGTAGGCCGGGTGCGGTCTCGGCGTAATGTATCAGCCTCGCCGCTCCACCATCAGCATCCCTCTCTAATGCTGCTGGTCCCCCGTGCAGGTTAACTGGAGGTCTTGAATTCGCAACAGTCCTCTCGTGCCCGTCTTGCGAGTTCTCATTCTCTTGCTGAGATCCAGCGGGACCACTGACACGGGCAGTGACGACGTCATCTTGTATCCCTGATATATTGCCATTGTTATTAACACTGTCCTCGCCATGGTTGTTATTACCATTACCTTCATTCTCTTCATCATCGTGGTCGCAATCATCATTATAGTCGTCGTTATCATTATCGCCGTCGTCACCGTCATCCCTCCGAGTCTTCTCCAGCTCCGGGACGGGGAGGCTGCTGCCAACCTCAATCGAAACGTTACCCCCGTATCCATACGCGTGAAATGCCAGCCGGGTTCCTGCCCAGAACCTATCCTGAACACTCATCTCCACGATTAATTCGTCCCATCCGGATACAAGCGCCCTTTGTAAGGCTGCCCAGTCAGTCAGGGAGATCTGTGCCGTCTCTTGGCTCCACAGGCGCCACGACTCCTCGATCCCCCTCCCCAAGATGGTGCTGCTGACGCATTTGTGGAAGTACTCGATAAACCTTTTTGCGCGCCAGCTCTTGAGTGCCGTTCCTTTTGGCTTGGCCCGCTCTCCGGGTCCGGCCCCCCTTCCGTTTTGACGTTCTGATCGGCCGTTTGGCCGGTCCGGTTCACCATCTGTGTCTTCCCATTCATCTTCCCTCCGACCATCACCAAATGTCGCTCCTCTGGGATCGGGGGCGACGATAATAAACCACGTCATCCCCAATCCATCGGCTCCAATCTTAAATGTGCGTCCGGTTAAGCTAAAGGACAAGGCAGCATTGAGGTGTTTGCCGGAGTAAGGAGCTGCCCAGTCCTTGAAGGAGATGCTGATGGAAGAGAGAGGATGGCTATCGGTAGCCTTGGAGACGGCCTCGCCGGGTTTGCCTAGGATGGCAAGGAAGTCGAGGAAGAACGTCGGCATCTCCCGATCAGGAGCATCTTCGTCGCCGCTCTCAACCTTCCTGGATTGGGCGGCGTAGTTGACTGAGTGTTGCCTCTGTATAAACTTGATCGCGTCTGTGGCACTGGAGATTGTTTGTTCCACCCTCCGCCGGAACTTCGCCGCTGTTGTATATTAGCAGTTGGCCTCTCAGCTGTCCAATGAAACACGCAGCGATGAGAACAAGGTGTAGCGGGCTCTTTACCGTTAAAGTGTGCTCCTTCAATTCGCATCAGGTTATACGATGGTGCCCTGGTCGGGACTCTTGCCTCTATGGGAACTTCTTCTTCTTCCTCGGCATCCTCGGTAGCTATCGCGTTATAGCTACTGACTTGGTCGTCGTCATCCTGACACTCCTCGGCGCCGTTGTCATGCGGCTCTCCGGCAGTAGGATTACTGTCTTCTTGTGCGGGCAAGGGGGAGAACCGGCTCTCTCCGCGAAAATTATCTCCTGAGGTGCCGACGGCGTGATTATTCTGCGTGTTTGAGGGTGGCTGTGAGTCATTTGCCTCATCTGTGACGAATAGAAGAGGTTCAGGACGTCTACGGCGTTCTTCCAGGCCGTTCCCCAAGCTGTTGGCAGCATCTCTTGGGCTTATTATATCATGATCGCTCTCTGAGCGGACAAAGGCGCCGGTCGATGGGACGAGGCTGCGGTGACTGGGAGGGCTGGAAACGGATGCAGTGATAGGGAGATTTATATCCCTCGGAGATCCTGTTGAGTTCATCTTTGATGCTGCTGGATAGGCGCTGTGCGATCTAGACTGCCTTAAGGATGCTCCCATCAATATCAGTGCGGGAGCTGCCTCCTATATAGCGCTCTTCCTTAGCAATCTATCATCGTCTGTCATACGGTTGCACACTCGTTCCCTGCATTCTACACTTTAAACACTCCACTACTCTACACAATTGTTCATTGTCTCTACCCATCGTCGCCGCTGTCGCTAACCCCCTAACCGAACCTCGGAGGCCCAACCCGGCCCTACCCATGGGACTCCTTTGCCGATGCCTCGCCCCAGGTCGACCACACTGCATTGCATATTGATACATTGATACAATGCCCATTGATTGGTCACAGATACGTGTCTGAGCGCATAGATTCTCCACGAATATGATATAAGCACCTGCCTCGCAAAAGGCCTGTGGGCCCATCCCGGCAGCTATTTCCTTGGAGCCCTTGTTGCAGTCCGAGGAGCTGCGACGCCATGGTGGGCCATGCTAGGAATCCGGAAGACTTCTGGCCTAGTATTATCATTACTATTCCGGAGGGGTGGGAAGACCATGAGCTCGTCAAATCCGTTTCCGCTACCCAACGAAGATAGGAGAATACGTGTTGCTTGGTGGTTGGCACGAAGGCTTCCGCCCACCGCTGGCGGACCGGGCCTGGTGCTTCCTCCGCGAGAGAGGTCTCCCGGTTCTTGAACGGACTCTTGGACAGCCGCTGGAATGGTCTGTTGTGGCAAGCGAGTATTGTTCAGGCCATCTCCTTTGCTGCTGGTTCCCATTCACCTCTGCTGTCGTTCGTGTTCATGCCCACGCTTCTGTCCCCATCAATCGATGTTGGCGGATTCTCATCTTCGTCAAGCTGCTGATCTCTTGGCCTTTCAAGCGACTGACGTTGTTGACCCGGATTGAGTATGCCACTGCCATCCTCCTCAGCAAGCCACTTCTCGATGGTCTGCCCCCTCATATGCTTGAGCTTAGTGAACGGAGTCCCGTATTTTGCCTAGGCATCCAGTTACGGACATCTGCTCTACTAACGTCAACACTCACCTCTTAATGCTGCTCAAGAATGGGTATTTACGATGCGTCCTGATGTCGAATGATCAGACGGCAGCATTTCACCCAAATGTCATCGTCCGTCCTAAGAATATGAGAAATAAACGCAGCAGGGTCATTCATCTTTTCTATAAGATCTTCTCGGTATTTTAGAAGAATACTCTCTGGACACAGCTTCATTTCTCTGATTTTTGGATACTTTCGTTTACCTAAATTGGTAACCCATCCAAGATGGCACAAAGTTCGATTGTTTACTCCTTTGTGTTCTAAATAGTATTTGAGTCAGGGAGTTGCAAAGATAACTCTATAGATATTATGCACTGACCTGTCTTTTTAATCATTTCTGGAATGCAGAGAACGCCCCTCTTCATCTGTGTCCCAAGGAAACCATTCTGGATGAAGAAACCAAAGCATTCGAGTAGTGAGGGTCACAGCAAATAGCTTTGGATCTTTCCGAGCCCCAGCTTCAAAATGAGATTTGTGGCTCAGTAATGTTGGTGTGACAATCGAGGAAGCCAGGGTCAAGACAATCATTAAAAGCAGATCACATAATGGATCTCCCAGAGACTGTGCGAGACACTTATGGGCAGTCTCATAATGTGCTAATATTCTCTGATCACCGTGAACAAAAGTCTTTTGGCAAGCTTCTAATCCTTCTCTAATAATCTCTGGGATCTCGGAGAACGGAAAAGAGCATTTGAAGTCGATCATATATCGTTCTGGTTCGTCAAGTTGAAGAGTGTCAACGGACACTTGTTCCTCTTGCTCAGTGAAGCAGTCTGGCTGCCCAGTTAAGTATATGTTACCACCGAACAGCCACTTTGCCTCATCATCCAGGTCGCTATAATTATCTTCGGGGCCCCACTGGAAGATGCCGGAAATAAATGGACGGCTCACACTAGGTTGATTGGCCCGGCTAACTTTAGTAAACAGACTGTGCTTATCATACAGTGGGATGATCCAGAAGTACGGCAACGCCCGTTTACCAAGTGAGCTTTTCCAATCATCGGCATCATTGCAGGTCAGCGAAGCTGATATAGACTCATAAAACTTTCGAGCTAGCTGTCTGTAAAAGCAATGATCCCAGAAAGTTCGGATGATGCCGTCATCCCAATCAAAGAGACCTTGCACTCGTTCAGGATAAGTATGCCCTAAATAATGATTTCCCTTCTTCGATTGCGCTAAATGTGGCCCCTCGCCAACTAGAGTGCGAATGATATCGAAACTTAAACCATTGCTCCCTTGTTTGAGCATTGTATCGCTATCAACGAGATTCGGGCTCACGTAGAGCTGTTGGATTACCTGGAGCGCAAACTGCTGATAAACCATCTTTCTCATGTTATCCAAAATTTTGGAACGACCATCTGGTCCGCAATTTTGCAGACAATTCTCTAGCTCTCTTGCACGGTAATATTCTTTATTAACAAAATCGACAGCTCTCCAGTTGCCAAATACGCCTTGAAGCCCGTTGAAGGTGAAAGTAGTCAATGGAAGAAGCTCATCAAGTAGATGCAGATTAGACCAATTAAAGAATTCACAAGGTAACCAAGCAAGGCCGGTATCCCGCATGCTCCCTTCAAAGTTCATCCCTCGAAGGTTCTTTCCCTGCCGGTTTTGGTATTGATCTTTAAACAACTGAGACCGCTTAGCGATGTGATGGCAGTTAACACTCGCTTTCAGAGAACGGAGAAGAATTGTGACCATGATCATGTTTCTCTGGTGATCCTCCCAGCTACAGTCACGACGAGTTCCTCGCACCCGCACGAAGTTGATGGCGGAAATCCACCGATTGAACTCCCAACGCATGAAACCATTAACAGAGGCTGTTGATAATTCCCAGAACGGTCGGTGAGGCCCACACGGTTGTGCTGTAGAAGGGTTTACATACGTAAATAATTCCCATGATATTCGATATTCTTCTCGAACACCAAAGCTGGTCCCAATAGAGCTACTTAAGTCATGGCGAATGCGACATTTCATAGCTTCGAATGCTTTTCGGAGGCGCTTTATTTGTGGTGTTGACTGCGAGGAAGTCGCTACCCCAGCGTTATGACCTTGCCTGCGGCTACAATCCATGCGTCCAGAAGTGAAGGTGGACATGTTATTCCCTCTAAGTGTGGCTCGCTGAACAGACCAGGCTCACGTTTAGAAGCTGTATGGAAAAGGTCTTTGTTGATATTGTAACGTTGTGCATAGACAACCCCTCCCTTGTGCAAAGGATGTGTCCTGCGAGTCTCAACTCTAGCGCTGCCAGCTTGAGCTGTCAGCGTCCAGTTAAAAAATTCCGATGCTATCAGTGGTGACGTAGCACTGTTTTTCATCGTACCAATCTAATGCCGCAAGCATTGGCTTTTCCAAAGGAATGTGCTGCCTCCAGAAGTGGCAGTATTCTCGATGCCAATATCTATCCACGTATTCGAGAGGTCTGATTTAGGCCAGTTCAAGACTCGGTTAAGGTGGGTTGTGATTCTGCTGCGACAATCTTGGAATGTGAGTGATTTTGCTTCTAATTTGATGTTCTTTGCGCCTAGAACGATAAACATCCCGCGAAATTTTGTAAGATCAGGGGCTTCTGCGCTTTGTGACATATGCCTCCAAATTGCCTCCAAATATTCTTGCGGCAAGTAATGGTGCATATCGATGTCATTCCGAACGTGTCCAGAGCATGCTTCTCTCCGCCGACTATGGGCCTTACTCTGGATATCATCAAACGATCGGGGATGATGTTATATTACATCGTGAGGGCAAATGTGCCGGATTGCTGGCAGGAGCAGTCTATCAATCCACATACGCCGCTCGTCGTTGGTGAGGTACGATGTTGTGCGACGCACATGTGAAATTCCGGGGAAGAAGACATAAACACTAAACTGGGGGGGATTGGTGTCCACTACCAAGTCTGAGATGGGGAATAGCGTGAAGAGGTTTTCCTTGATGAAAGACATGAACGCTCGTCTGCATATTTCTCGACATGGGCGCAAGATACGAGACGTAAAGGCCTCGGTTAATTGATAGACATGAAGCGAAACTTATAACACTGTCCACATCCCAGCTGCGCTGGATGCTTGGAATATTGTAATGACTTTTCTCAAAGCGTAAGTGCGGCTGTGTCTCTCCTCCACTTAATGTTGAACGCCAATCCAGAGGTCTAATCTCATCCTCGCCCGCTTCGGTTGTGTTTGATGCTGGACCAATTGCATCTGGCAGACCGATGTTTCTCCAGTAGCTGGCCATTTGACTGAGGCCAAGTAGAGTGTCCCTATCGGGTCCTATAGATTCCTGTTGCCCGCAGTTACAAAGGCAGCTCCAGGCTCTCTCTAGATATTGTTTTGCTAGAGAAAGATTTGATCCACTCATGTCATTCAGCTCATTAGTGTTACCAGATTTATCCTGTTCATCTAAGGAGTCTATCTCTGTTCCCGTCTCTGATTCAGAATCTTCATCTGGTAAAAATTCAACGTTGGTATAAGTTGTACCATGTTCTTCTTCCTGATTGATTATGATATCTTCGCCCCGTTCCCTTTCTTCGAGATTTTCAGAGGTTCCATGGCCGTTCGTGCCGGGGCCATCTTCCAGGATAGGTGGTGGTTCAGCGGGTGCCTGATGCGCATAGACCGACTGATAATCTGACGTAAGGAATATTTCGTTATTTTCATTGTAGTCATTATCGTCACAGACGGCCGAGGCTGGATTATTACAACGTAGAGCCTCTATTGAAGGCGGAATGCCGGGCTGTAATGTCTCATTGGCCTCCAGCTGAGGGTATCCAGTATTTAATCGAGTGGCCGGGCGAGATGTGTTTCGTAGAAGCGGTAATGTTGAGATAGGAGGCAATAATGCTTCAGCGGTGCTGCGGCCTAGCTGAAATTCATTGTTGCAGGGTATTGCTTCGTTTCTATGAGGCTCGACCGGATCGCAAGACGCTGCTAAGATTGGAGATGCTGGGTTAGTACTATTTGCGAGGCCATTGAGGCGATCAAGGGACTGAAAAGTGGTGTGTTGTGTCGATGGCGTGAGCATAGCGTCTGTCTGCGGGGCGGTGTAGATCCGAAATCGAATATCTCCTTGTGCGCTCACATAAGCAGATTGAGGTTGTCGACGAGCACGCCTTACAATACGTCTTGCGATAACATCTTGCTTTGCCTTCTCCTCTTTAGACGCATATTTTCGGGGCCTGCCGACGTGTTTGGGACCTTGTGGCATAATTAATATGTCTTGGTAGATATAAAAGGGGGCTGTATACAACACCCATATGTAGGTTTCTGGTTTACAGCTGGTAAGTTCTGACAACCCTTGAAATAAATAAACTGCGGGGTTCATATCTGAATATACTAATTAGGCTAGTTTTTTGACCATTAAATTATGAAGGCTAGAACGTTGACTGCAAAACTCAAATAGGCTAGCTTGATGACTGCAAAGCCTAAAGCGGTAATTTACGCGGACCCGAATGATGAAAAATACGACAACGCAGCGCATAGAATGGTGATTGGCAGTGAAACGGGAATGGGGCCCGTTTGGAGATAAAATTCTACAGTAAACCAGATGTGGAAAAAATATGAAGATCAGGACAGGTGTCGTTACAAAAACCAACGGAATAGTTGGTATACTGATCACGATGCGGACGAGAAGAATCTTGCAGATGACAGGAGTGCCAAGTTAGATCAGAAAGATCATCGCACACTCAATCATGCAATAGAAAAGGGAAGTCCCCTTGTTCAATTGTTGGAGAAGATTCAGACTGAGAACAGAGCTCGGAGAGCAAATCAAAACGGAAACCAGAATGCTATGATCACGTCAGAGCAAATAGAAAATTTAGTCGAGACGCCTGACCGTTATGTGGATAAGAAGGGAGAACAGACTGTGCTTTTGAAACTGAAGAAAAAGCTAAATACAAATGGAAAAGACTTGGAAAAGGCGCAAAAGAAGGCTTCAAGGAAGGCTTCAAAGAAAGCAAGAAGAACGGAAAAAAAGAAAGCAAAGCAGGAAGCGAAAAAGAAAGCAGAGATGAAATTCAAAGAGCGTGTAGATAGGAAGTTAAAAGGGGAAGCAGAGAGGAAGGTAATAACTGGCGGGCCTCCTGAAGAAACACAGACTGCAGTCTGGCAGGCATTGTGGGGTTTCGAAGAGGTGGTTCAAGAAGAACAGGACAGTGAATCAGTGGTTGAGGGGGTTATAACACCTGATTCCGAGTCCTAGCATCGCAAGCTATTCAGTCTCGATCCCCATTTATTATTTTATTATTCACTCCCGTATGTTCAGCTTACATTACTTAGCAATTTTGAGTTTATTTTTATTTTTAGGAAAATATTTATACTAGCCAGTGCATATGTTCCGTAATTAGTCATAAACTCCAGGGTTTATGATAGCATACAGATCTGATATTGTATAATATAAGCCTTGTTTTCTTTACTCTAAGAAATTGCTTTACCAGGAATGGGAGAAATAAAAACACAATATGGCTACGCGAATAGCAGATGTACTAGATACCGCTTCTGGTGGTGGCTGACTTGTATAATGAAAACGAGGACAGTGATGATGGCCTTGATGCTCAAGCGTCCGGAGAAACCTACGATGATATCTATCTCAATATCTTAAGTTATAGCCTCAATGAGGATAGCAATGCATCTAATCGGGCGGAAGATTTAGAATTAATCACTCGTCTGGCGATCTGAACTTCAGGCGTGCGTGAAATATTCACCCCTATTGCAGAGAGGAGCTGGATTCGAATGAGAGAGGCGTTACTGATGCACAGGGCGCGAAATCTAGCCGGGCACCTATATTTTACAACCAACTCTGCAGTCTTCACTGCTCAAAGGGCTGTGGGCACGTTCCAATGGAGTTTTACGATGGACTACGGTCGAGGAGGGACCGGGTCGCGGCCGACAAGTGATAAAGACGACTATTTTCCCATATCCCACCTCCACATGATCAGATGGTGGGATGCCCGCTCAAGCCAATCACCAGCGGCAGCGGATTCTTCGACGATGTCATATTCACACTGCAGTACTGGCAGGCGCCGTATAGTTCCAATCACGCGGTAAGCAGTCTTGCGTTTGACCTGACAAACCGAACGTTTTGGCTGGGCAATGGATCGACTAATGGGGCCTGGATTAAGAGAAAACATTCCATTGGGGTTATGAAATAGGAAGGTTATGACACATCGTAGCTTCCTGCTTTACTACTTCTTAGACTCTGTTGGGGTCTTTATATTGCTAATGGATCAACCACTGTTGCCGGGTTTGTTTATAAGAAAATGAGCCAATTTTGCGAGAGTAGCCCCGACGATAGACTAATACCCAAAATGGGCTAGCACCAAGTCATGTAAGCAAAATTATACAGTTTCTCAAACAATACACAATACACAGATAAGGCCATGCCGTTCTATGGTCGGAGGCGACGTTACATAAGCAAATTCAACTATGCCGTTCTATGGCCGGAGGCGACACGCGACGCGATAGCGGCACGTTTACCTGCCCAAGTAAAATACCGTGATATCCACAACCCTATTCCACGCATGATTGTTCATTAAGCCATGGAGCCGACGAAACAGAGGCCCTGCGCCATTGAAAGCAATGACCATGCGGAATGCCCTTTCTTTGTGAAGATAGCCGCGGCATGTATGGATGAGCACCAGTTGCCTCAGAAGCGTAAGCGCGGTCGCCCAGACAAACAAGAATACTGTTTTCAGAGGTCGCCGTTCACTCCCAGTGGAAAATTCAACTCATGTGAGAGCTTAGATGTGTTATACTCTATCAGGCCGCGCAAGAAGTGGTCTACTATGACTCGCTACCGGAGTTTCGTTTGTAAGTGCGCCTTCTGAATATCTGATCTTCATCATGAGGAAATACTAAAGTATTCCTCTAGTACATCATATCAAATATGGCAGTGGCGACTTTGTCTATGTCGCCAACGATAGAAGTCTCAGTCAAGAAGATGCTGCCAAAAAAGACTCTGATCAGATGTGTGAGCTGCACTGGATAGCAAAGATTCTCGAGATTAGAGCCTTGGACGACACTCATATTTATGCGCGAGTATACTGGATGTACTTGCCAGATGATCTTCCTGAGAATACTCTCGACGGCCAGAAGGTAGTATCGGGGCGACAGCCTTACCACGGTCAGAGGGAGTTAATGGCTTCTAATCACAGTAAGCCGAGCTGATTTTCATAACCTTCCTTCTATTGCCGCCTAGAGTTAACAGGTATTATAGTGGACATCATTAACGTTAATAGTATTGTCGGTCAAGCAACTGTCGACCAATGGATGGAGTTTAAAGAGAAATCTGAAGAAAATCAAGCCCAAGGTGTACTGTACTGGCGGCAGGCCCTTGACTACTTGACACGACAGCTTTCTGTATATGCATCCCACTCCCTAACCCCTTTCTCTTTCCTTTGTTACTTTAACCATTGATATATACGAATGCTGATCCTAAGCCCAGTCGGTGCATAGTCGAAGTCAGCTCGAGACTTTAAATACTTCAGGAATGCCGCAGGTGGAGCCTGATAGTACAGAGCATCAACCAAACGCACTATTACGGCCGGCAGTTGATAAAGACAATGGCGGATCTCGGCTAGTAGAGAGCGGACACTATGACTTGACACCTCAGCAAATCGATACCAGCATGTATGATATACTGAGGGCCTCAATGCCAGAGAGTCCACTTCTCGCAAGGGCTACAAGAAGATTACACAAACCAACCGATAATTCCACATCTTCGAAAAGCAATCTACAAATGACGAATCCCAAGCCACGTCTCCAACTGGTTGTCGATCCGACGACCTACCAAGCAGGCGACGTTGGGGTCAAAGTCACTGTTATTGAGACTATGTCCCGGGACAATTGCCTCGTATCGTCAACTAGTGCCGATTTAATCAAACCGCAGCCTCCCTTAGTGAATCTCAACAACGCGCCCATAGCCGACCTATCAACGTCATTTCCGCTGGCAACCTTCGCCTGCCTCCCTTTTAAGTCCCAGAACCAGCTTTTAGCGCGCCTACAACATGTGTTGGAGCTGGCTTGCTACAGCTTTGGGGAGCTAATGATGCCTGAAATTCTTCTATCCCATGGATGGGACTGTGCTGAGCGTGTTGAATTGAGTCGCTGGGTTCGTATCTTGAAGCAGCGAAAAGAGTTTTCAAATTTCAGTGTCACGAGGAAGTCGGCTGAAAAATTCTTTCGTTCTATTGCTGACATACGGCATTGCGCTGTCCACCGTAGGCAGGTTAGCACGGAATCCTTGAAAGAGTTCTTCGTAGATGCTGAGGCTCTGGTTACGCTTCTTGGGGATGACGAAAGTAGAAGCCATATCACTATGCTCTGGCAGCAGGCGATCCTAGACCGGGAATACAACGCTATCCTAACATGAGCTTTGCATTGCCTTCTGCCAAGTACATTGCTCATAAGGAAGGCCAATCTATTGGTTCATAACACAGCGCTTGTGGAAAGGCTAATCTACTCTACTTTTGTGGATCACATAGTTAGGTATATAAGAGATCCTATCCCCAACTTCTCAACGAGATAATTTATTGATATTCTTTTACTATTATTTGTTACTTTATGGCCTCTGAAGATTTTGAAGACGATTAGGCAAGCTCAACAATGTTGAACTTCAGCGCCGTGTGCGGGCTCTCGTGGCCAGACGGATCCAAATTCCTCTGATCCGCACAGTTTACAACACATACAGCTGGCTTCATATACTGCCTCAGTCTGATACTTCTCGAGGTCACGCTACCATGTGTGGCCCATGCCTAGGCTGGAATTTCCGGGAGGCCTCGTAGGGGCCATTTGGCAATCCTGTAAAGTGTTCGCAGAGATAAGATGTACGACTGATCTACTTCGCCGCTGGGTGAGTTTCTCAGCCTTCTCGCATTTGGAAACGCTCTCCGCCGGAGGCTCCGGCGTTTATCTTTGAGTGGAGCGATGATGGCGAAGAGATCTCGTGGGATGGAAACTGCCGGTTGACAATGGCGGCTTTCCGTGGTCTCATACAAACAGTCCTTGATCCGCCGGACAGGTTTCCCGACGCCTCATGTACGGTTGGGAGCCGCCGGCCCCGAACTTTAGAGACACAGAAACCGGCTATTCATTCGTCACGGTACCTCTGAACAAATTGCTCGAGGCCTACCTTGAGTTGTTCACGAAAACTTGCGTATATCCAATTGATGGATTCCTGCAGGGAGACACTAGACAGTGAGAGAGCAGCTGAGATATGACGGCCCTTATTAAGTAGCTTGAAGCTCATGATGATCTCTTAAAGATAATCATTCTCCTATTTCATTTATGCAGCGGCCAAGCGAGCAGGATAACAGAGTTGCCGAGCATAAGAATACGCGTAAAATTAAGGTGTGTTGACCATCTACTCTTGTGTGCGCTACAGTCGATCACCATCCCCATGACAATTTTCTGATACGTTTATTAGTTTATATATCTCATACGTCCGGTTATGTATCCTAAAGTCACACAAATGATGTAACCGTATTAAAGTCTCCAGTCCGTTATGTACACCCGTTACTATCATAACTAACGCCGTCAGAACCGTGGTTTTCTTCTCTATCAGTTATTTATGCTCTCTTTTACATACTGTGCATATTAACACGTCATACTTAACAATGAAGTATTTCTGTGACAGCCGGCTGCGATGTACAACTGATAGTGTATATACCGTTTACTGGTGGTAGCTGTCTGTAAAGAGTAGCCCAGAACCAAATTGCAAACCGTAGGACCATAGTATTGCCGAGCAGCAGCAAATTGTAGCGAAGACTTCTCCTTTCCACGTTTCTGAACAGAAAATGGTGCTAGAAATTGAAATCCATAATATGAAGAAATAGAGAGGATTATAATGCCTTCGGCAGGGCTAGATTGACCACAAGATGCAATAAATGTCCAGGAGACCAAAACTGCCAGCATCATCCCCTCGCAAGTCATTTTAATTCCATTAGCCTTTTCGCGTAGTATAGAATAAAGTAACCCAATAACTTAAAAGTAAAACCAGAGGCGTACTCCAGTTCCGTATAAATCTAAAGCCGCTTGTTCGTCTCCAATACCGCCCATTGCGTTATATTGCTTCTGCTTTTTGTACGATTATTCCGCAATTTCCAAAGGTTATATGTTAATACATGTATATTAACAGGCATGTTACGACCCAACTCTTATGGTCGCAACAATGGGCCTACAGGGTAGGCGACATCGGATTAACGTAGGACCGAAATACCAATCACGATAGGATCATTGGATCATCTCAATGATCCCATGAGCCAAGGAAGGATCATCATCTTCACGAGATGATCCACGGTGGATCATTAGATTTTGTAAATGATCCAGCATATCCAACTGGATATATAAGTTCATTTCTCTACACTCATCTGTTAGATGCGGCGGGCCTTTTCCCAGTTTGCCACGTTTGGCGGTTGCTTAAGGACACGCGAGATGCTGTATCACGTTTTAAGGGAAACCGTGACGACGTTACCGAATGAGTGATCTTTGTTGGCTCTGGATACTGAGGAAGCCGGTCATCCCATGGTTATCAAAGGATTAAAAATGATTAAGTATTTCGCATACGTACTCCTCTAAGATCACTGAGATCTGGACCTCCGCATACTGCAAACTGAGCACGCTCCGAGACACCGACTTTGGCAATCGCAACAAGCTTTGCGCGGCGATGTTTTACACACTCTGCCGCAGGTTTTGAACTAGACGTAATAAGGTTCTCGTTCCGCCGGTCGAGCTCTCGCAGGGCACGAGGCGTGAACTAGATCTTGGACAAGCCGTCGTAGAATTCGGTGGGGAATCGATGGCCTGCGAGCCGAGCCGCTTGCCTTTGACCTATTGGTGATATGGTCTGGCGGGGATTCTTGTACTCGCCGCTGCCTTCCTCTCAATGTCTGAGCCATGGACGGCAATCACGATAGAGGAGCGCCGACGTGTGGAACAGGCCAGATCAGAAAGATGTAGGTGTGCGACTTGAGCAGATGACCATCTCACGGTACGATATCCATGCTACCTAATATTGAGGTGCTGCAGGCCTTATCTTATGCGGCTTCAAACAGCTGCTGGAGATCTCGGGCTACATGAAGGCACCTCACCCGAGGCTCACTAACCACTATAAGAGAGCGCACTGGTTACAGGAAGAGCTCTAGCTAAAGCCCGATGAGATGTAAGCAATAACCGTAACTAACAATCCGTTATGCTGTTAAGGCCAATAGCCACTAACGTAGCAGTTACAAATACATCATAGTTATAGCCCTATTTTTACCGCTTCCGCTTCAATAGCTGATCTAATTTTTTCATGCTTGGTCGATAGTTTGTCCCATGCCTTATTTGGTAGCAGTCTTTCCCTTTCAGATGTTTCCTCGGCTATTCCATCATAGTCGGGATAGTACCAAGTTCCCCAGATATCATGCTCTTCCTCAGCTCGCCACTCGTCGAATTCGCTGAAGTTGAGTTCAAACTCGGTACCTGTGAGCCACCATTCACACAAACCAGTATCAATTCCATCATCCAATTCAAGAAAGAGTTCAAAATCAACGATATTTGAAAAATCATCTCCACATTTCACCAGTACTGCATAATCGTCGAGGACCTTTATTCTCACACAGTCATAGAACAGCTGGTGAGCAACCCAGCCGAGAGGAGCCCTCGCTCCAAATTTTCGTGCAAAAAGCGCCAAGTATATACCGACTCCCCAAGGGTCATGCCGTGCTTGTCGAGGTAGAAGGTCTACAGCAACACGCTCTCGCAATTCCTCTGTAGATACAATTCGACCGCCATGACTATCCGCAAAAAGATACTTTTCCCAGTCGAGCCCACGATCTATCAGGGTCTGCAGAGAGACCTGATGCAAGACATATTTGTCAGGTATTATCCATTCGAATACGTACTCGTAATAGAATAAATTCGGTTCTTCAAGCTCACATTCCTCTGCCAAGTGTCGTGCCGCATGCACTGGGGTGAGAGACTCATCTACAGTGGTCGGGATTCCGATGAAGGCAATCCAGATATCTTCTAGCGACTCGCCGTCTGTATACCACTTATCGAAAACGCGCCTAACGGTATCAATGATTCGGCTACTCGCCGAGATTAAAGCTGTCGGCTTTGTACTCTCTCGGATCGCATGATTTCGAAACTCGTCGAGGAGCTCAGAGTGGATTAATGCATTGTGTGCGGGTCTCTTGGCGGAGCTAAGTTTACCGGCGCTCCTTTCTGAGTATACCCGTGTGTAGATTGTATATTCGGCCATCGAGGCTCGATTTTCTTGCGTTTTGGCTCAGTAGCACTCAAGTTGGGGATAGCTACCAGATCTGCTGCTGCTGTAAGAGAGCAGAGGAAAGAGGAGAAGTGAGATTGAAGGCTTCATCACTTACCCCGCTGCCAATCCTGCCTGCGGGGTACGGTGGGACCTTAGTAAAATAACTGTGCCTCACAACACACCCTCATCGCAACATCGACTTTTGCAACGCCGCCTCGCAGCTAAATAGACGCTCTTCGAGAAGATTGAGAGTAGACGAATCGCCGGCGAATCTTCTAGTCAGATTCTTGTGTTTTTGAACGAATCGATCGTGGCTAGCGGCGGCAGACCTATCGTGCTTCGTAGCCTCGAGAGGTATCTGTGCAAATGGGGGCTTACAGATTTGATCTGCAGCTATGATAAGCTTCAGCCCTTTTACGAGGATATATGCGATTTATATGACGAAGGTGCCTCAATTCGAGATATCCTGGTTAATATCAATCATCAGTTTCAATTAAACAACGATTCAACGATCAGCGAGCGAACCTTATATGCTCAGCTGAAGAACAAGACGAAAGACTCGATCGTGCAATTCAATTCCTTCAAGAAGACCTCTAACGAAGCTCAGCAATCCTCAGCTTCGGAAAAGGCCTTCTTTATCAATACGTTCGTCAGCAGACACAAGTAGCTGTAATTCAACGGCGTTTACACGATTCCTATCGCTCTATACTCCCTGAAGAGGTTGCTGGTCGCCGTGACGGCAACTTCAAACAACGAGAAGACTTTGAAGTACCAGAACCAAGCTTCTCTTTGGTCCCTTAATGGTTATGAAAGCTAAAGCGGCTTGAATTTCAGATCTACGGCTGTATTGATGCGTATTTCGCGATGTATTATTTGGTTCGTTATTGGAAGATTAGCTATGACTTCAATGAGCACTTTAAGCAGTATCTTCAAGCTGTTTAAACCTTAAGTGTCCACAAGTGTAATACTACCATATATGATTAGATTTTCGAAGGCCATATCATATATAATACGGGCAGAACCGTCACCATATCATTAATATGATTACAATATATAGTAATATACATAGCCATATTTTTAACGTGACAGTATTAAGTCAACGAAATTGATTGTAGATATACAACCGCAGCCTCAAATCAAAGTCATATGCAGCCTATCGAATCTCATCCGCTTATATCAAGGTCGTCGTCGGCAAAAGCCACCCTGCTAACATTTGCCAAGCCATGATTAGAGGCATTCGGTCGCTTCAATACTTTCAATGCCCATACGGTTTATACCTGACAACAGGCGTTCTGGCTCCGCCGACATTGCCGGAATGGACAACACGTCTAAGACCATGATAGATAGAGCTGGGTAAAATTTCCTCTGGGTAGGGACTGTAACTGCAGTGGACTTGTATTCTTTAGTCCAGGAATCCAGCATTTGTTTCCGACAAGCTTTCCGCCAGTCTGAAGGCCAATTGTTATCAATATAGTCCCACTTCCATTGTGGAGATAATACCAGGGCTGCAAAATAGACCGGCGATCTGTCCGTCAAGCTATAGTAATTATTCAGTTTGGCCCAGCTAGAGCCGCAACAAGGACACATAAACGGATCATTAGCATATTTTTCCTTTGTGGTCTCGAACTGCTCAAGAAGGAAGTTCATTCTCGGTAATACTTTGTCAATGGTTGCATTGCGACCTTCTGTACCTGTTGTGGCATCATAGAAGAATAATAGGAAGTCCTGGAGCTTTTGCAAGTCTTGCCAGTTCTTTTCCGACAATAAGCCATCGCTGTTCTCTTGATATTGGGACTGGACCCAAGCATCAACGAAATCATCCTCTTCCTAGACAACTCGGCGGTCGTGGACGGGATTCTCGGCCCGACACCCTACTCCTCACAGAACGCTTACATGGGCCTTAGGAAAATCGCAAAGGACCTCCAGCCAGGCATCTGTACCAGAGTCGCCTGGGTTCCCGGTCATAAGGACATACATGGCAACGAAGTAGCAGACAAACTCGCGAAGGAAGGGTCAGAACTTCCCACACCACCATCCAGATCGGCAACAATAACCCACATCAAGAGATGGGCCAAAAGCGAAAGGAAACGGCTCCGGGAGCTAGACTGGGACCAGAACCGACCGCAATACTACAGAAAATGGCGACTAGACGCTCTCCCCAAGCCACCGGAGCTCCAGCTCCCAAGAGCTGTGTTACACAGGCTCTATGCGGAAAGGACAGGACACGGAGACTTTGTCGAATACCACGAAAGATTCGGACACGATGCCAGACCCACCTGCAAGTGCGGCGAACCAAGGACACAAGGCCACTTCGTGGAATGTAGAATGGTTTGGCCCTTCCTGCCGGAAGTCCCTGAAAAAGATCTCCGCGCGGGTGCCACTCCCCTCACCTATCTCCTAGGCCCCGAAGGGTACAAGCATTTTCAGACACTAGTGGAGGACACAAGCCCATACGGCCCTGCCCCCCAAGATACAGATTGACACACGAAGAACACAGATTGACACAAGTTAGCACAAGACCGACACAAAATTTTTCCTTTGTTTCGCATGACACGTAGCGAACGCGGACTCTGACCAGCGGCTCCTACCGTCCTATTGCCCAGAAGGGATTTATGTAACTAGCTTACTTAGTGGACGTTAATAATAAAACAAACAAACAAACAAACAACATCTCTTGATATTGGTGGCAAAAGAGGTTAATCGCAGTCTTGAGCTTTGTTGCAGTATGGATCATCGCATACCAAGAGTTCCAGCGAGTAGAGTTGTCCCGTACGAGGTTGCGGCCGCCACTGAGTTATTTACAGTTGGCCAAGCGTTGTGGTCTCCGCTGGATATACATCACAATATTATGTAGTTTCCTAAGAGGTCCCTTGCGTCGCCATTGCTCCATCTCGAGTTCAATGGGCGTTGCCAAGGCACTCGCATTATTCTCATAGGCAAGAGATTCATCGTTTGTATGAAAGGGAAAGGACCGAGGGGCTAGGTTAATGATATGGCCATTGCAGCGAAGGCGATGGTGCTCGGCATTATAGACGATTTGATACTGCTCGAGTAATACCATTCGCAGGCCAATTAGCATGGGTGATGGGCAGTAAATGAATTATATAACTCCATTCTACAACTTGCAACGTGTTATACTGTACGTACGCGTAAAGAAAGCCTTCATCATTGTATTATTATTGTCTACATTGTCCATCATAAAATAACCCGCTTTTGAGGCAATTCCATAGTCACTGATAACTTTCATTACACAATCTGCCATATTCGGGCCCGAGTGCTTGCCGTCGAGTTCTCTTAAAGCCAAAAAAGGAGTATTCTAACTAGCCAGATTCAGATGTATAGTGTGCAACAATGCCAAGAATCGCAAAGGCATTTGTAGAAGTCCAGAGATCAACTGTGAAGTGTATTTTCGAGAGGGCTGATTAGATCTGGCGTTTGACTCGCTGTTTCTGAGTCTCGTAAGTCCGCAAGGTTCAAACGCGTATGGTTGAAGGAGAGTTTGGTAGCTAGTTGTCGATCGCTGGATTCAGGAAGCAAAGTAAGGGCCTGAATTCTGCTTGCTTCGCCATGCGAAAAGAGACGCTACAGGTTGTGATCCACCGTACATATAGTTGTTCGAGAACAGCGAGGTCTAAATCGTGAGTTGCAATCGTGGAAAGACAACGGCGTTTATAATGCGTGTTTGCTGGGCTCTCTCAAAGGCGTCGACGATGTTGGCTTGCATCAAGGCAGTGCGGGATTCTCGGGTAGAGGATATATCGATATTATGCCGGTTCCTTAGGTGCGCTTAAATAACAGTTGTTCCACCAGACTCTAGATAACTGAGTCTCCAGATGCTACAATACCAGAATGAATCTTTGGTTGTATCGTTGAGCTCCCAGAACGACGACGCTGGACCCGCAAGCCATCACAGCCATGATCACAGGGCACACCGTCATCGATATGAGGGTAATTAGCCTCAAATAGCTTGTCTTTTAGTGCGCGTGGATATTGTACCGATAGTTTTGATGTGGCTTGGGGGCTGCGGAGGTGTTTATGCATGTTGCTGTGCAGTTGCCTCCTCCATGCATCCCCCTTCCACTTGCTTAGTGCTGCTCGAATGTTGCCGTTTGGTCTAGACAAAGAGTCAGGCGTCCCAATTTTGGTCTAAATTTTTTGAAGAAATTGCCTTCCAAGATCATATTGAAAGACACCTTCGCTTATTATCACATCTCCGAGTATAAATCTGTGCCTTCGGTGGAATGAGGAACAGCACCACAGATTCCTACCACGAGAGCAAGTTTTATGTTTGGGAAAGTTCTGCTACAATCTTGAAATGAAGTTTAGGGTAAATATCTCGCCCTTTCATCGCGAGGGGTTCACTACTCAGCTCATTTGCATTCCTAGTAAAATGGAGAATTGCCATCTTGTCAGCCTCCAACGTTGCCCGCTTCTTTGCTCCCAATCTAAGGCGTGACCAATGATGGATTGAAGTCTGTCACGGTTGAGTTGGGCTGCTGGGCTCGCCACCCAAGCTGCCAAGTCGTCCACAAACGCAATTACGCCCCCGTTTGCATCGATGTGTCCTAGCGGAATCAACTTGTAGCAAGCACAAAGAATTGCAAACATGATAGTCTGATTATAACAGTAATTGGAAAGCTTTGCTGCTCAATTCTCTTGCCTAAATAGCCACTTATCAAACTGCACTGTATCCAGATCCTTTGGTACCGAATCCCTTGTCGTTTGCCACTTCCTGGAGTATACTTCAAAGCTGCTATGATCCGCTGGCTTTACTGCGAGAGACTTCACTCTCAGTGTCTCTGGACTATCCTCACCCTCACAGATAACCCTGGCCTTAGAAGCTCTCTCTGCAAACATACTGGCCCGCGCTTGATCCCCATGCGCGATGCTAATCTGGAAAGCGTCGTAGTAGAGCCTAGCAATCATCGCACTAGCACAGCCATCAAACTCCTGCTCCAAAACTTGAAGCATCAAATAGCAATCACTCAGGCTGTCATGTGGGCTGCTCATCATGCGAAAGGGATCACCAATGGCTTTATCGAGACTCTGGATCTGTATACGCCGGTTGTCGCTAGCTTTGAGTAAGTCGGGGGGGAGAGAGCAACAACTGCAGTCGCATTTGAAACCGAAGGCGTCTTTCAAAAATACCTGTCGTTCCCTTGAGGCCCCCCCATGATCATAGGGAATTGTAATCTCTGCTCCTCTCTCAATTGATCGAATGGCGTAGATGGTTTCGTGCTTCTCGGCGCTATTCCAGTTGTTGTGAGCGTTCGGGATACAGCTGTGGTTGATGAAGCACGCTGTGGGGTATACGCCGCCAATGGGCGACCCGGATCCACACGGCAGAGCATTCGTCCTGAAGATACCGCCGAATGGATGCTTCCCTTTGGAATTGTTGTGTAGAGAAAGGAACTGCCGTTGTGATGTTTTTGACATTGCCTTTATTGCCTTCGCGAGAAATGGCTCCAGCTTATTAGGTGGCATAGGTCCAGCTGTGAGAAGTGGCTTTTCGCAAATAATTCGAGTGCCTTTAGATATGTTGAACCGGGCAACTAACCCTCTACCTTTGCCGGGGATATCCTGAATCTCAAATAGTGCAATGCCCTGCTCCTTGACAGGATCGGTTGCACTAAGAGGTGGGGTAATGCTAGCTTGAGTTTCGAGTACATCGGGCTGCGAACAAAGTATTAAAATATTGTCCATCGACCAAGAACGTGGTATAAACACAACGTACCTGCTCATAAGACCGGATCGACTCGCTGACTTTCTTCCAGTCATGAACACCGTATTGGTTGGCACCTTCGTTCCAATACTGAACACGCGAGCCAAAATGGGCCTTTGCAACACGTGTGACTGTGTTGATATAACGTTCTACTCCTGAGCTACTCGCGATGGCCCCGGAGACTTTCGAACTGAACCGCAGAAACTTGTGACCCTCAAAGGGAAGCTTGGGATTCTCGCCTACGTTGAATTTGATGTAATTCGGCATTATTTCGACCTGGACGTCATCTTTGTATTGCTCTTTAATGAGGTCGATAAAGCGTCCCCAGTTTTGTTTGTCAACACCTCCTTTAGACAAAGGAGGGTCCATATCGAATCCGGCGTCGATTCCCATGACTGCAGACAGTTCTAAGTAAAGTCACTCAGAAAGTACTGGAGGATAGGATTTGAGAGGAATTAGCTCTCTATTGCAATACTATAGCAGGAGAAAAGTTGGGAGAGGCAGAGAGTTAACTAATGATGCTATGTAACCAGATAAGCAAAAGACACAAAGACACCGATGATACATGGGCAGCGCACGTGCCGATACTATAGCAAAGAGAGCGGGGTAGCTAGGTTACATCTGTGATTAAACAAACCCCTCTGCTATCACAGTATTCCACGAGGCAAATACGGCCCAATACCACATAACTCCAACCAATATATTAAACTTTTTACAGCTGAAATGATTATCCCAGTGGGTAAAGAGAGTGCAGACAAGTATTTAATGAACTATTTATTTACTATCCAGTTCGGCGTGTAGCTTATAAGGAAATGTCCGTCGCTCGACGTCCTTCAGGTAAAAGAAGCACAAAGCGTTACAGTTTCCATTCTAGGTTAGCCAAGTGTTACATCTGCCTGATTGAACTTAGCGCCCTTTACATACCCGAGTTGCCTTGGTATGTACTCGTAGGGAGATGAGTTTTACTTTATTTCCGAGTATTAGTTATTGGATATTAATAATACGCAAATATGGTATATAGGAAACATGTGGTACTGTAAATATAATACGCAGAGAATAATCTTATTTTCAGTGCTGTTGCCGACTACTAAATTTAGCCCCCCTGGACAAAGAACTACGTTAAATAAGGTCAGGGTCAGGATTGACCTAGTTCACGAAGACGAAGAGGCAGCGGGGCAGCGAAACTTATAGCTTCATAGACGCTTCCTAACCGAAAAAAAGTCCTGATTCTTCCACGAGGAGAAGATGCTATCGATGGAAGTGACCTGGAAACGCAGGCGGTCATTACTATATTGATCTAACTATATAGAATCTAATTCACAAGTTCGGGCGTCATATCGACATACAAAAATCTCAGGAAAAAACTGATGTTTCTTTTTGGAATGATCGGCTAAGCTATGCTGCCTATAGCTTAAAGGTAATTAAAGATTGTGTAGATCTCAGAAGTTTATACGAATGATGATGATTCTGCTGCTTGGAAAAGACTAGCATGATGTAAAATGTCAGGTTCGATGCGAGTACCTTGCTATCGTTCACACTAGCTCGTGCATCACAGCTTCTACAAAATCGCCTCCCTCACGGATAAGCTCACGAAATGTGTTCTTCTCCCACAGCTCTTCCAAATGCTTGTGGGTAGTACTGACTATCGCCTTCCTCATTTTGCAGTTGGGATCGCTCGTAGATTGATACACATCTCGTATACAATCGACAAATGTCTCACTGACCCATAACTTTCCAATTTTCGACTCAAGATTTTGCAAGGCACGATCCATTAGGCCTTTGATTTCGAAATAATCCGCTAGCTGGTAGACCCGGACGTCTTTAGATAGTTCATCGTCGTCTGGAAGGATCCGGTTAGCTATTGAAGCATGGTCAATATTATGGACGTACCTATCGAGCTCAACTTTGTGGCAACCTCTTCAGAATACTTTCCTGTGTACATATACTCGAATACCCTCCAGTACGCTGGCATGCTTCCTTCGTTATACTCAAATTTTTTCATGACACCTTCCTTCATCTCACATTCCAAGGCCTTCTTGAAATAGTTACTTTGTGCTGAGAGTATGATGCTATGCGCTTGAAGTTCAACCCCGCTAAGGTAAATCTTAACATCTGCGTGGGTGTCGCAATTGAAATACCTGCGCTTGAATTAGACCACTTCATCGCTAGTAACATGCCATATAGGTAGCATACCTTTTAATGCCCGAAAGGATGGCCTTAGTACTTATAAACTTCATTGATTTTAAGTGAAATACAAGAATCCACTATAGTAAAACGTAAGCAAGTACCCCTGCAAAAGGAAACTTGATTTTAAGTGAAATACAAAAAATAAAGTAATATAATTGGCTGTTTTAACCAGGGGTTAAAAATAGTAAGGGTATTTAATTGGATAAGTTTTTACTATAGCCCTATAATATTTACACTTAATCCTCGTGGGAACTATCTTATATTAACTACCAACTTATAAGAACTAAATTTACTTATAGTCTTTGCTATAACCTATTACGCCATTTATCTTTAATTTTTATAGCGCTGTCTCTCCTCCTTATTCCCCTAGCACTCGACTCATTACTATTGCTAATACCCGGTTTACTTGCACACACTTTACTCCTCCTATCTTCGCCGGGCATCCCAACCAGATCATAAACTCCTCTTCCTTCTTAAACTTCTGCCCAACTGCCAACCAGAACCACTCCTGCTGCCCCCATTGCCTCCACGCACCGTAGCATGCTGGTATTACTATATCCCCGAACCGGCATTCCGCTCTTCCTGCCGCCCCAGCCCTTAAACCCTCTGCCACTTGGCATATCACTTGTGGCTGGTAGCACCAGAAACACACTTTCAACCCCCCCATCCAGCTCCTGCCCTCCTTCCTGCACTTCTCTATCGCCCTCCTCTTGGCCCAGAACCAGTCGTGCCGTCGAGCGCAACTACCCGCCGTGTGGTTGAACGCTCGCCCTTCCACGCGGCAGTATAGGCACGTCCCAGCCACTGTCTCCGTGTCCCTTTCATACCGCCTGAGCTCATCCTCTCTCATCCGGTCCTGTCGAAGAACTTCACTTGGCCCTGTAAACTGCATCTCCTGCTCCTGCTCCTGCTCCTGCTGTCCCCTCCCTGATCCTCCAGCTATCTCGCCTTTCTCGTTCCTAGCAGCGCCCTCCTTCGGCGCCAGCCTCAGCTGAAACACCAGATCCTCCGGCCTCTTTACGCTGTGTAGCTCTTTACAAACTCCACACGCGTCCTCTCCCTCCATGCACCACCTCCAGTCCTTTTTGCTGTCTAGGAACTGGCTCAGCACTCCCCGTAAGCACTGCTCCTGCGTCAGGTACAGCTGCATTGCCCTCCCGTCCACGTCCCCAATGTCCCCCGTTATCCCTTGCCTCCCACGCCGCGGACACCAACACAATCGACTCCGCTGCCATCCCGTCTCTCCCCGCCCGCCCGGACTCCTGTGAGAAGTCCGTCATCTTCACCGGCGCTCCTACGTGGATCACCAATCGGACGTGTGGATAGTCAAACCCGGCCCCCAGTGCCCCCGTAGCCACGATTGCCGCCGGGCCCCCTTTCCCTAACCACCCGTCGATGATCGTCTCCTTCTCTTCCTCCGTCCCCGAGTTGGCCACGTAGGACGGGCATCCCATTAGACTCGCCACCTCCTCAACCAGCTCCATCTCGCTTCTCACTACAACCCAACGACATACTCTCATGGCCCAATCTCTTGTGGTACTACAGAAGGTACGTACCTGGATTAGTTAAGGACCGCTGGATAAACGACGGACCTCAGCGTTCTTCCATGAGAAACAGCCTACACGAATGTTTTCTATAACAAAAGGATAATGGGCTACAGCGTTCATATTATAATCCGCCTCCTGTGCTCACAACTATAAACGTATATAGCAACATCCATTATACTTCAATTGTGCACCAATGCGTTGATTGTCCTGTCTTTGGCAGTTCCAGGACCAATTCCGCTGATGTCGCCTTTGTCCGCGAGAATAAGAATCTTTGGCATCACCTCGGAAGGGTCGCGGTTAACCCAAGTGGCATCACTCAGGAGGCAGCAAGCAACTCCAGTCACGTGTGGAGTCGCTGCGCAGCAAGATAGTTAGCTTCATGGAGACTGTTTTCCAGGTTTCAACGATGTACTTGCCCATAGACGTGCCACTGAGTCTCCTGGTTGCTGTTCGGCTGCCAATCCAGGAGGAGAGAACATCGACGCCAGGACCATTAATGTCAATCACTATGTCGCTCTGTTAGCAACAACTAAGTCTTAATGCAGTATTCAGTCTTGGGAGCCCATTCATGACGTACTCTTTCCGAAACCTGAAAACGGGGCAAACGCATCATTGATATCTGTTGCACCGACAGTGATGGCAAGCGGCTCGCGAGCTGGAGATATGTCCTCAGCTGGCAGCTGGTGTTCGGTTAGAAGCAGATCATCCCCATAGTACGTAGCAAACTTACATCGAAATTATTCCCGGCAGCAACACAGACCACCACCCCATGACGGACAGTGGACGCAACGGCACAATCCAAAATCGGACTGGCAGGGCCTCCCAAACTCATGTTCACCACGGCGCGGCCCTTCATGCCATGCAAATTGACATCGCTGACGACCCATTCAAGCGCCTTGATGATATCGCTAGTCTGCGCGAACCCCGTTCTATCGCTGAACACCTTGATGGCTACGACGTTTGCTTTCTTGGCCACGCCGTATGCCCGGCTCGCAATTGTGCCCGCGACATGAGTGCCGTGGCCATGCACGTCCTGATCGCTTGCAGAGCCGTCGGACACGAATATGGGTCCCTTGGTAGCCCGCCTCTCAAATTCAACGTGCTGATCGTTAATGCCAGTGTCGATGACGTACGCGACTGTGCCAGCGCCAGCTGCGTCGTCCCTGTATGTGTAGCTGTAGGGGGGGTTACCAAGTCTGTTACGTACCGAAATCCGTCCCAAACCCCACGGTGCATCAGGTTGAAACTGGCAGTGGCGGTAGAGCTGCTCTGGCTCGATGCCAAGAACCTAGAGTATGGAGGGTTAAGCAGTCAACGACACGACTGAGATCATCTGCCAGAGAACTGGCATGCGGTTCTCTTATGCACATACCTCAGGCATCTTCTCTAACTCAGCTTTGGTGGCGTTGTCGAAATTGGCAGAGTAGCCTTTCAAGTATGGAAGGTGGAACTGCTGACCAACATGTACATTGAAAGGAGTAATAGGGTCCACCGTCATGTCGTCCAACTTTGACAAATGCTCGCTCTGCATTGACTCAGCTGTCAGGTAGGGTTTGACCATGACGACCCACTGACCCGGCAGGATGTTGTTCTGTTGGGTATCCATTGTGGAGCTTTTGGTTGATTATTGATAGTCTGGAAACTATATAAAGAATGGGAGTTAAGTCAAGTTTTTGGCCTGTGCTTGTTTACTGTGACTGTTGCTGTTGATGAGTTGAGAACAGAGGAAGGAAATGGGCCATGGCCTTCTTATACTTTTTCGGGTCCTTAATAAGTGTTAACTTAATCAAAAGATAGTTGTAAACTTCGGAGGGATCCTTGCTCCTGGTACATATCAAGTGACAACTAAATGATTTTCCCAATATTATTTAAGCTTCAATGTATTGGATCCTAACTATATGCCTACTTTGCCTATATTATAATTAACTATAATGCGTTGGAGGCTAATAGCGGCGGGCTTATACCTGATGTAGTAACCAGGACGGACCCCGTCTGCCTATTAGGCACCGTTGGAATGCTGAACTCTAGAAGTAAGGCGCCAAGATTTAAAAATGAATAGGCATGACGTATTGACAGACCTACCAATGTGGGCGAATTGGCTCGCTCTGTCTGTTGGAGGGCATCCCCAGCTGTTTGTAGCAATTGCACAAATGGCAATATCATCTAACAACCGTCCATAAACGCCAGTTACAGCCATGGCAGCGGCCGCAAGTTACAATTCCAGGGCCTAGTACAAGCAAAACGAAGAATTGAAAGTACATGCGCTGGCTGATCACCCGCAGACTTTGGTAAACGGGTGAAAACTTTTTACTAAATTCTTCAAACGCTGATAGTTATCTAGTGTGTTGAAGAAGAAATGTGTGTGCTAGTTATTAAAGTTGATTCAGAACTAATTGTATGGAAATCTTACGATTAAAGTCTGCCTGGCTAAAATCCACACTAGTTTATTGCATCGGCAGTATAGCTTTCTACATTCCAGACCATAAACTTAAAGTCTGGGTCTTTGGATATTATACTTGGCAACAAGCATGTAGGGTGTAGTTCTTACAACTGTTCAGTCGCGAAGCTCCTTAGTCTAATTATATAGTTAGAGCTATGTAGTCAAATATACTTTGACTGTAATTATTATAGATCTAGCTTTTATACCTGTAGAAGCAATGACGCTTGGTGAAGTAATTGAGAAGATAAAGAGAAAAGACTATTACAGTAGAGAAAGTAAGCCATTCGCGATACATTAATAAAGTAAAAAAAGTCTGGACTTCTTTTTCTCAACCCAAATTTAGTCCTGCTCTAATACAGCAATACAACATACATTCTAGCTGAGATTAAAAGCAGTTGCTGCTTTCTTAAAGTTAAAAGGGGCTGACTAGAAGTAAAATGAAAGCTAAACAGGAGCTGAGCAAGAGCTGAAAGAAAGCTTTTTACCACTATCTAAATATACTATTATAACACTTTTATTTTACACCTATATAATAAGCCGAATTCTTCCATGATATTTTTCTCAACTATAATCAATAATGCTTCTTACATATAACATATAAAAACAATTCTTTAAAACATTTACCCCTCTATAATTACAACAACTATGAATTCGGCCTAAAAGATAGGTAAGGGGAGTGATGCCCGCACGGAGGTCTTTTTCAGGGACTTCTGGCAGGAAGGGTCGGACCATTCTGCATTCCACAAAGTGGCCTTGTGTCCTTGGTTTGCCACACTTGCAAGTGGGCCTGGTGTCGTGTCCGAATCTTTCGTGGTATTCGACAAAGTTCCCGTGTCCCGTCCTTTCCGCGTAGAGCCTGTGCAGTATAGCTCTTGGGAGTTGGAGCTCAGGGGGTTTGGGGAGAGCGTCTAGTCGCCAGCGTCTGTAGTAAGGCGGTCGGTTCTGGTCCCAGTCTAGCTCCCGGAGCCGTTTCCTTTCGCTTTTAGCCCATCTTTTGATGTGGGTTATCGTGCGGTCCTGGATGGTGGGGTAGGAAGTTCTGACCCTTCCTTCGCAAGTTTGTCTGCTATCTCGTTGCCGTGTATGTCTTTGTGTCCGGGAACCCAGGCCACTTTGGTGCGGATTCCTGGTTGGAGGTCCTTTGCAATTTTCCTAAGGCCCATGTATGCGTTCTGTGAGGAGTAGGGTGTCTGGCCGAGGATCCCGTCCACGACTGCCGAGTTGTTTAGGAAGAGGATGATTTCGTTGATGCTTGGGTCCAGCCGGATTCGTAGATAGGATATAATTTATATCTGGTACTATTGTGTTGTTAACGACTAACTATCTAAGCTAGCTAAATGAGTGTGTTCTGAACCTCTTATGTAGTAAGTCGTTTTATAGGGAGCGCTGTTGCCCATCGCTCCTCTAGACCATAGAGTGCTTGCGTACGTCGCTCCTATATGGAGGAGCGCTCTTAGGCGTCGCTGCTCTTATGATTGGTTGATTGTTCCATGGCTCTTCCAGGGTACGTACTATTGTCAGGACCTTAAGAGATCAGGTCGTAATAACACTTAAAATCAAGTTTCCTTTTACAGGGGTGTCTGCTTACTTTTTACTATGGTGCATTTTTGTATTTCACTTAAAATCAACGAAGTCTATAAGTGCTAGACTTCGGTCCTCCATCTCGCGTTGGCCGCCAAATTCCCGGACACTGTCTAGCCGCGTTCATCTACGCCTGCTGCTAAGACGGCACAGGAGCGTAGCGTTTGTGTCAAAGTCAAATCGCTGCTTCCACACATTTACTATGATCCCAAATCTTGAGTACATGTAATTACTGTCACCATGGCTACGGACGCCGATCTCTTCAAGGTTGAACAAGCATTTGGTTACACTTTTGAAAATAAACACCTCTTGCAGATCGCCTTAACATCTCCGGGCGTCGAGAGAGATAACCATCATGGTAACAGACTTTTGGCTCGGGTAGGCCAGGCCGCCATGGAGATGGTCATCGCCCAAGCTGGCTACGAGAGCTCAGCAACAACCGGTATATCATCATCGTTCCTAATGAGGCAAAGCCTGGGCTTGGCTGGCTGACTCGGGGTAGCAACTATAAATTATGAACAGAATTTCATTGACAGCAAGGCGCAGCTCTCTTTGGCAGCCGAAGAGTCCGGCATCGTCGCCTGCATCAAGCTCTGTCAAAGGTCGGGGCCTCCCTCGGCCCATGTTAAGAGCCAGGCCATGAGGGCCATCATCGGCGCGGCGTGGGAAGATTCAGATCAGTCACTGGGCACAGTGATGGCAATCATCCAGAAACTCAAGAGTAATCTGCTGAAGCCTGGGGTGAAGATTCATAGCGTCTCTGAAGACACAGCAGCTTCTCCCCAGTCGACAATCGCCAGCTCCTCACGATCTATGCAACAAACTTGGACACCTCGTTCAGATTTTGATGGTTCTGATGAACGGCCCCCCAGCTCGTCAAATTCGGGTCTGCTGCACGTTGCCTTTGAGCTGCCGGTAATTTCCGATGACTTGTTTACGATGCAGATGCTGGGCACTGCGGCCGGGAGCGTCTACATCAATGCGTTAAATATCTCTGACGATTACATCGTGCCTGATGTTATACGGTTAGGACACCTTAATAATGCATCGAACGAATTCGACGATAGCTTTTCAGATTTTCAAAGTTTTCTCATCGACGAGCCTATCCAGTGCCAGCCCAGAGATATCATTTCGTCCAAACCTTGTTCTTCTTCCTTATCGGTTGAGGGGGTACGTGACCCATCTTCGTCTGTGGGTTCAGGATCACAACGCGAGATGAGGTCCAGTGCCTGCATACGTTCGAGATCTGCAAAAGACCAGACAGGCGTTTCTAAGAGGCGGCAAATCGCTCCAGACCACACCTGTCTGGATTGGCTCGTAGATTATATATCAGATGAGAGGGAGCGTTGCCAAGAGCACAGTTCACCTGATCCAGGCGACACATATCTTAGCCCTGATATATTGAGAAAAGCCATAGATTTAGGAGGGAAAAGGAGTGACGACCTCCTTAAAATATTGGTAGGGATATGCAGCCCTTCGTCTATCATTGCCCTTCGCGCCACCCTGCAAACAATGAGGAGCGCATCGGACCTCCGGGAGCATATGCCCCTGCATGGTCTTTCTGCCCCCGAGAGGTTCAAGGCAATTGAGAGGGAAGATGTATTGTTGAATCGACATTGCTAAGACGATGTCACAACTGGAAACTCTGGAAGGAGCACTGCAGCTCTACAATCATATCAACAACCGTGGGTCATGAATGGGTCTTGGCAGGTCGACCGGGACTCGAACAGAACGGCCCTGGCAACCCACGAATTATGCGGAGATCTTCTGCTACGTCGGCACTCATGGACAAGACATTCCCCGAGCTGAACAAAGATTCAAGCGAATTCAAGCATAAATACGACCAGATAAAACGGTTGGAAAAGCTTGGACGGCGCCTCAACATGATGACGGAGACATTTGGAGAGGGGATTCTTGGACTCTTACAGTGTTCCGAGGCTGATGCTACGTTTCTCAAGATTTCGGATCCAATGTGAGCAAGGCATGAAACACGCGTTGAGACTAATGTTGACCATGTCATTATAGGTTTCTTAAGCCAACGGATCACGACTTTCGAGAATTCTTGTCCCTATTGGATCGCACGCAAAGGATGTTTATTTACGAATGCAGTCAATCTACCACGCCTATCCTGAAATGCATTTTGGACGGGACCCTAAAAAAGACCAATCTCTTCCCGCTTGAGCTGAACCGGCCTGAACAGATACTTGGATTGCCCAAGGGCTCACAATCTTTGCTAGATGCTTTGACTTATGTCCTCTAATAATTTAGAAATTGTTCGAAACTAGACTCGTGATATATCAGGCTACGCAAGGATAGCTATAGTTACTTAACCCTAGCCCGGAGGCACATCGTTCTGGGTGGGGATCCTAGGCAAAATATCAGGAGCTAATCCTAAAATCGACATTAAAACATCTCGTTGCTACAATGACCACATTAGGAATAGCGCATTCGAGGCACACGCCTCTAGTTACGATGCAACAAGTGCTCTAAGGACTAGTGGCGTATTCACTCTTTTGAAAACGGTATTGCTCCAGCCGGTCGAGTGGCACGCAGCAGTCTTATAAAGACCAAATTGGCAATAAGTATTCAGCTGAGAAGGGAAACACAGTGTATGCTCACCAGGCTGTGTGTAAAATATAACTGGGGGGCTAGGTTGAGGAAAGAATAAACATTTCAATTAACATAGACTGAGATAGGGATCAAGAAACACACCGTAATTAGGAATCTCTTAAAAATGGGAACGGGGTTGCTGTCGAAAGTGAGATCGACGAAATAAACTCTTCTTAAGCGTGCTTTTCCTGATAAGTCTTACTGAAATATGATGTAAATACCCGTAGTCACGTCAAAGTGCGTACTCCATACCCAGCACAATGATCTTAGCCATTCACTAGACTGGCATGGGGTGGGAGCTGCGAATCCTGGTTACTTTGAAGCGGGTGGCCAACGATCATAAAAAGAAGAATTCTTGTCGTGTGCGGTGTCTTACTTTGGTTCAAGTGGAGACATACCCTCCATGATGGGGAAGGAGACGGACATTGATTGGTAGATGAAATCAATGGGGCAATATGAGAATTTCCCGTCTACCCAGGTTTCTTGTACATTATCCCCCTCATAATTGGCCAAGTATGTAGCATTTAATGTTTAGGCGGTCTGCAAATGCACTCTTTAAGTTGGGCTATGATGGAGAAATAGTTGTAATCACTTCGATACCTGAGCAAAGTTCTATCTCGCTGCTGCAACTCTATACACAAGTTGTAATGGTCACCTGGCGTAATTTCTAATAAAAAAAGATATCTCTCGGCAAATATGGAGGTGAAGTATGAGAGGTTTGTATTGTTTCAAAACTTTGACAAAAAAAAATATAATAGGCACTAATTCTTTTATACCAGCATCCTGCTTTCAGAAACCTTCAAATTCATCATCGGGCCTCAGAAGAAAGTTTTCACCATTCATAGAGCTGCAATATCAAAGCTTTCAAAAAGCCTGCACAATCTCTTGAATGGTAATATGAGAGAAGCAAATGAACACTCTGTCTACTGGGAAGACGTTGACGAGAAAACATTTCTTCGATTCGCTCAATGGGCTTATACTGGAGAATATATCTCTGCAGAGCCAGAATTGATTTTATCTTCGGCTCAGCTCGCAAGCCTCAAAAAAGGCTCGGTTACGAAAATTTCAGTTGATGAGACCGCTAGCTCTCTTGCATCATTCAAGATCGTGAACGAGAATGAAAAAAAGGATCTATGCGATCACTGCCGAGTAGTTCTGCGTTCGGAGCAGAGCAAACAATGTGATTCGTGTCGGAAATACTTCTCTTCTCTGTACTGCAGCAATTGTCGCTACTATCAGCAGAATTTCTGCTTGCAATGTCAAAAAACCACAGAAAAGTTATCAAAGAAACAGTATATGATTCGAACATTCAACAACAGCAAGGAATTTCCCTCTCCAACTATTCCTTATACACCCCGAAAGAACGAGAAGAGCTGCGAAGAGTATAGCGAAGTCTTCCTATCTCACGCTCGTCTCTACACCCTAGCCGATAAATACGACATACCAGAGTTACGGGAACTTTCTTTGCATAAAATCTATGTCAGCTTGAAGGAGTTTATACTGTATCCGAGCCGCGTTGGAGACGTTATTAATCTAGCGAGTTATTCTTTTGAGAACACGATTACAGGAGACAAGCTGCGCACGTTAATGGTCGAGTACTGCGCATGCGTAATTGAGGACATGCTCGAATACGAGAGCTTCAAAGGGTTGGTAGAGAGATCTTCAGATTTCGCGTTTGCATTGATGAAGAAGATGAAAAATCGTCTTGATTGAGAATTAGGGGTTAGTAGTGATTAAACACATCTTATGCCGGCTTACTTACCTATCAGCTATAAGTCCCAAATTTTGTGAATCATTAGCTTATGCTCTTTCTTGTTCTCTTTCTTTCTTTTTTCTCTTTCTTTCTCTCTGTGCTCCTTCGAACATCCGGCAGATCCGACACGCCAGTTTCACCAGCTTCTGCACTTCGTTGAAGTGCTGCCTCTATTCGTTGTAGACGGCGTGGATACTAATAAAGTATAGATAAATTAGTAAAAAGTGCTTGTAATGCCAAATTATTTTTCACAATATGAAAATAGTCAATCCATTGCTACTTACTAAGTATCAACTTAAAGCAAGACATTTATGAATAATCAAAGCTTTTAAGAGCCGCATGATATATGTTTAAATTACTCTAATTCTCCCTAATAATTGATGAGCGTCCAGATTCCGCATTAATACGGAATTGGAAGCATCGGCATCGTAGTGTCACACAAATGTGTAAGAAGAATAACCTCCTTTAAAAATAGCGTCCATTTGTTTGATTCAGCTAAGCCTATTTCAGTAATGCCTTATCAGCTGTACTGTAGAAGTAGTGCTCTAGAAAGGTGTCAATCACAGATAATGAGGGTTAAATACGGCTAAAACATTCGCTTCAGACCTCCACACTTACCGCCTTAAACCTTATCACATAAAGTTTCGCCACCTAACGCCCTTGTGCAGCTGCGGCTTTTCTATGTCTATGTACAACCCCACCCGCCGGTCTTTCAAAGTTGTTCCTATAAACCCCTTTTGGATTCTTTTACTGTCTCATCTGAAAAACAGCCTCGTATGTATTTCTTTTTAATTATTTTCTTTTACATAGCTAAGGATTTTAACCAAACATCTATTCTACTCACTGTGCTTACGTCAAGCCAAGGAATCGAAAATATCATGTTTAGCACCCTCTTTGCCTTGGTTCCTCGTATATAGTAGGGTTTAGACAACACACCGAATTACACCGGAAGCCTCCTCGTCGAAATGAGGAAAAAACAGGCTGGTAAAGTACAGTCTCCTTAGGATGAATAACGCTTGACCTAACGCGTTAGAAGCACTTGCGAAGAAGCGAGCTGAAGCACGAGCATTGTCACAAATTGATGCAGGGACCGCGGAAGCCAGGCGGGCCACCTATCGTTCACATTCTATAGCCAGTTCGACCACCTGCCCAACACCTACAACTTCCTCCGCTATCCTGTCAGATACAGCCTCGATAAGAGAGACAGGTATTGCGTCTTCGGTAGCAGCAATGGAGCACCATCCTAAAGCAGGTAAATCATTCATGATAAGAACTAGGCAAAATCCTTGCCGCATCATCACCCTAGAGAACGGAGAGTTGAGGATCATTGGCAAGCCTTCTGGAGGTGGCTGGCTCTGGCAATGTGAGAAAAGGCTGGTATACCTACGATGGTAAGGCTCTGATCAACTCTAGTAGAGTTGATTTAACTAACCCCTGTAGGACCCACTATACCGGGGGTAGAGTTGATTTAGAAGACCGGGGGTAGAGTTGGTTTTTTATCGATAAAGCGCTTACTAAGAATGAGTTTGTTGATTTTTATGAGCCATATAGCTTGTTACTTTGCTTGAAATGCCGCACTGCTCTCCCACCTTTACAAAGCTCTATTAAGTCTCATTTTCGAGGAAAGCATAAGCCAACAACAGCCGAGTTAAAAAGTATTACTGATTTTTATTTCTCAATTAATCCAAGAGTTACAATAAATGACCCGCAGTCGGTTGAGCTCCCCAGTGATTACAGTCTGCCCATTAGCTGCTTACAGAGCTTTCGAGGATACAGCTGTAACGCATGCCCGTATCGGACAATAAATAAGAAGAACGCTGCCACTCATCAGACTCGGAGCAAGCATAAGCTTAGCCCAGGCGAAAAAGGGTGGAAAGCTGTTACACTGCAAACATTTTCGCGGGGTGGGAGATCCAGGTATTGGATCGTTGACATAAATAGCCAGCATAATGGTATGATTCGCAGCTGCGACATCATAAGCCCAGCTAACACAGAGACAGGCGATAATAGTAGCGACGATGACAGTAATGATATCACTGCGCTAGTGAAAATGGCCGAGGTTTGCGAGCTAGGCATAATGGAAGAAGAGAAGAAAGGACGGCAGCTTGTCGAGACGCCAGGCGGGGTGAATACGGATTCAAGATGGGTCAAGTTTATGAAACTTGCTCATCATCTAAAAGAGAAGAACCGGAAGATGCTCTACGAGACAGCTGCATCGGCAGCCACGAAAGCAGTTGAAAAACGGTGGTATCAGCAAGAGGCGATCAAGGCAAATCGACGGCTCCGGCAGCTCGGCGCCAGCTTCGACCGGGTTCTTACAAGATGTACGAAGCGGCTCGACAGAGTGCCGGACCAGACGCTGAAGTGGCTCAGCAGCATTGACGCAACGAAGGCATCGAGCGAGCCGTTTAGCAGGAACCAAGAGGCCGCAACGACAGAGCGATACAGCTCATACTGGAGGCGGTATCTCTGCTACTGCGTCCGGGTCCGGCCACTGGGGCGCTCCAAGGCTAAAGCCGAGCATGGGATTCGGTTTACGCGTCTGCAGTGGGACGGACTTGGAGAGGTCGTTCGACGGCTGGATAGTTTCGTAGCGATCGCCAAAGAAGACGGCCCGGGAGAGGATGACGGCGGGGAGGAGACGCCGGAGAAGGACGCTCTCGACGAGGCCGTCTTTGAATACTGCATCAGCTCGATCAAGCAACGGTTGGGCAAGAAACAGTACCGAAACCCGCTCTTGCACTTCATAGCAGTGCTTGGCATCGATCGATCGGCCGAGTCGTGGATCCCGTCGCACTCGCACACCCGCTTCATGGCCGGCTTTCTCTACTGTGGACGAATCTTGATGCTGGAGCACTTCTTCGAGGGCGACACCGGCGAGTCAGACAATTCAGGCGGATCGGACAGCTCAGACGGAGAATCAGACTGCGAGGTTAGTTTCAAGGCCATAGATCGCTTCCACGAGGGACACCACCAGTGGCTAGTAGACGGCTCGTACACGCCGTTCGGCTCGATCATACAGTGGATGACGTACGGGAGAGGCTATCGAAAGCGCGAGGTCGGGCTGGCCCGACTGGCGTGGGAGAGCGATGGCAAGACGCTAAGCTATCACGGAGACCGAATCAACGTAGGCAAGTTTCAATATACAGCCCGGGCCGCCGTCACCGATACGGAAGCGCTGCTCAATAGTCTCATGTCTGGCCAGTGGGGTCAGATCAAGGAGACGATTCGTCTGCGAAACATCGTCGACAGCTTAGTGTATGAAGGGCCGGGAAGGTCGTTTGTCAACAACCGAAAGAACGCGTGGCTCAAGCCGGGATCTGGTCAGATGACGAGAATCGTCGGCGAGACGCTCTGGAAGAGGGTGAAGGATGGGAACGGAAAGACGCGGCACGAGTGCAGGCGGCAAAAGGTAGAAGAGTTTCTTACACTTCTCAAGCAATTCAGGGGCAGTTTCATCAGGGCAGTGCACATCTGGAGCGGACAGCCGGGGCGAGGGCCGGAGATGACGACGATTAAGCACTGCGACACGGAGGAGCTGCCGAAGAACGTGTTTGTGTTTGACGGGCAGGTCATGATCGTCACGGACCGCGACAAGAGCAAGAGACTGACAGGCCGCGGCCGCATGGTGGCGCGGTTCTTGCCGGGGCACTTGAGCCGGATCATGGTGGCATACGTCGCATGGCTGCTGCCGTTCGAGAAGGTGCTGCATAAGCTATCCGGCATACGGGGGCCGGGCGAGGGGCTGGAGCCGTGGATCTGGAAGACGGCCGCACACGGGCTCTGGGATACAGAGCGTCTAAGCAAGGACTTGTGTTTGCTGACGGGGTTACATCTCGGTGTAGAGCTCGGAGTGTCGAACTACCGGCACGTGGCTATCGAGTTTGGGCGCCGAATCAAGGGTCTGGTGATCCGGCAGCTCGAGCTCGATGGCGTCGAGGCGGGAGACAGCGACGGCGATGGACATCATGACGAATTGACGGGGGAATCGCGCAAGCAGCAGCGGGTCGAATACGTCTGGGATCTGCAGGCAACGCACGGCAGTCTCGTGGCTCGCAACCACTACGCGATCAACATGCTCTACCCGAATCAGCTGCAGCCGGAGATGATTTCGAACTTTCAAGAGATCAGCAGGCTGTGGCATGGATTTCTCGAGCGCGGGGACGGAGAGTTCGGGCAGAAGCGAGCACTGGACGAGGACGAAGACGAAGGGCCCCAGCAAGCGGCGAAACGAAGGCGGGTGCGGCCGCCACGGGGTAGCAGCCGCGTTCTACAAGAAGCTCTCGGGCAACTGGGACAGATACAACAGACGTTGCAGTCACTGCTGCACGAGGCAGATGGCAGTCCGCGGCAGGGCCGTCGACGAAAAACAGCTCCGGCCAGAGCGGCTGACGAGGCTGACGAGGTTGACGACGGTGACGAGGGCGATGATGCAGTCAGCGATGAAAGGACCGAGAGCGGGCTAAAGAAGATGCTCGGCGAGAGCGCGGGATGGAAATCTCCAGAACAGCGCGAGGGTATGCGTCGGATCATGAGGATGCAGAACAACGGCATACGGAGCAAGATGCTGATCATAGTGCTCCCGACAGGTGGCGGCAAGAGCATATTTTTCTATCTGCCGTCTCTCATCGACGGCGAGAAAGGACCGGGCGGAAAGACAAACGTCGTTGTCGTCCCGTTCATCGCGCTGGCGGACGACTTGGTCGCGCGAGGTCGCGAGTTTGGGGTTGACTGCATGCAATGGCGCAGCGACATGGAGGAGGTGCGCGACGAACGGCAGAGGGACGCGAGTCTCGTGGTGGTCAGCGCAGACGTTGCCGTCTGCGACGGCTTCACGTCATATCTGGATAGCATTCGGGGCAGGGGCTTGCTGGGAACAATCTTCTTGGACGAGTGTCACACAATCATCATGGACGTAAGCTACCGGGAGCGGCTGGGATCTCTGGTCGGTCTGCACAGATATGGCTGTCCGATGGTGATGCTGACGGCGACATTGCCGGTGTCGATGGAGGGCTGGTTCCGGGAGCGGATGCTGGCGAAGGAAGCCGATATCATCCGGGGTCTGACGGCAAGGATGAACATCCGCTACAGGGTAAGAAGGGTGAAGGCAAGGAGCCGGAGCAGCGTCGAAGACGGGGTTGTGGACGAGATGGAGCGGTCGGGGAAGCGGATGGCGGGCGGGCAGAAAGGGGTCGTATACTGCCGGTCAATCAAGGAGTGCGAGAGGCTGGCGGCACGAGCCGGGTGCGGGCACTATCACGGGCGGATGGCAAGCGCCGACAAGGCGGCAGCACTTCAGACATGGTGCAACGGCGAAGGAGGGCAGCGCTGGATCGCGGCGACGACTGGGCTCGGGACGGGAGTCGACATAAAAGAGGTCGTTGCAATAATTCACATGCGGCAGCCGTACGGAATGGTGGACTTTGGGCAGCAAACGGGGCGAGGGGGGCGGCAGAGAGGCGAGGTGGTCGACTCGGTGATTGTAACGGACGGGGCAGCGGCGTGGTACGATGAGTTTGGCAGCGACGTGGATCACGAGAACCGGAAGGCTATGGAGATGTTTCTGCAGACGACTGACTGTCGTCGAAGCGAGCTGGGTGGATTTATGGACGGGAAAAGGCAACGATGCGGCGAGATGGGTGCTCTGGAGTGCGATTGCTGCGAAGAGAGGTCTAGGCAGGGTAAGGGGGCACGGATGGACGAAGGAGAAGGGGAAAGCGAGGAAAGCACGGGGAGTGAGATGGGAGATGACAGTGAAGGTGAAAGCGAAGGCGAAGGTGAAAGCGAAGGCGATAATGAGAGGGGGGTTATGGCAAAGGGGGTGGTCAGTGGTCGACTGCAAGAGCACAAGCAGGAAGAAAGCCGGCGGCTGACGGTGCTATACGGATGGCTGGATCACATGGCGGCAGTGGGCTGCTGTGTATGCTATGTAAGATGGCATCTTGGAGGGGGGAAGGAGGAGTTGAGGGCAAAGTATATGCATAGACGAGATGCATGTACGGTGATCAGTCTCAGGGAATTTGGCGACTGGAGGGCTAGGGTGAAGTTTGCGGACTTTATATGCTGCTGGGAGTGTGGGTTGCCGCACAGGTGGTGCGAGGCAAGAAGGGGAAAGGACGGGAAGTGCTGCTACAGCAATAAGATACTTCCGGTGATGATGATGGCTCGGGTAAGCGGGAGGGTGCAAAGGCTGGTGTTGGAGAAGTTTGGGGTGGACGGGAAGAGTGATGGTTATCAGCAGTGGATTGGGCGATCAAGGTATATGTATGGGATGCAAATGATAAACGGTATGGCAGTATGGGATGAAATTATTCAGGAGTGTAAAAGTATAAAAAGAATTAAGGAATAAAGGCGGGGTTAGAAAAGGGGTTTATTTATATAATAATAAAGTTGGCAAATATAGATTTACTAATGTATTAATATAAGAAAAATGTATATAGGGTTAGGGGAAATATTATACCCCAGGGGCCCGACTCGTTAAGGTAGGGTTAGGCATTTATATTCTGTCTCCGGAGACAGATGCATTGGCTGTGCTTAAGCCATCTATATTAAAATTTCTCTGTCTCCGGAGATAGGTCTGTTAGCTGCACGTAAATTAGTTATGTGAGTTCTTTATCTCAGGAGACAGACCTGTTGGCTGCACGTAAAATGGCTGTGCTGGCTCTCTGTCTCCGGAGACAGATGTATTGGCTGCATGTAAAAT